TAAATAAATAAATAAATAAATTTGAAAGCCTATGTAAACCACAGTTTAATATTCTTCAGAATAACTCTAATACCAAGCTGTGGCAGACTAGCTTGCCAAGTATTTACTTAACAAAACTACTGTCATTTCCACCAGGGAAATGTCAGTCTTGCAGCCTCTCATTCTTGGTGAGTAACCAAGAAAAAAAAAGACTCCTTCCTTTTCCTTGAAGTGAGAAATCTCTGTGCTATTTTATTTTTTTAAAAGAAAACTTGTGGGACATCTTGTTTTGTTTTCGTATTGTGTTGTGTTGTTCTGGTGGAAGAAGGCATGGAATTACGAGAAGAAAGGACACATATAATTACAATACAATGCAATACAATAGCGGGAACCTGAGACATAACTGTTAAACTGTACAAAATAAGGCTTTCTTGCTAAATGTTAGTATTGAGGCTTTCCAGTGTGCAGTATTCGGTGTTTTTCTTTCCTCTTCTGTTTTGGAACTGGGGTTGTTATCCTTGCCTGCAGTGAGTCCCTCCTTTAGGACCTTGAAATGAAGATGTGGTAATGACCTGACAAATAACCTGCTGGCTTCTATTCGGTCCACAGCGCTTGTCTAATCCACAGGAAGGGGGAGGACTCCTTTGATGATGCCTCACCTCCCTGTCCTATCCAGCAGAGTGGTGGTTTGATTAGGGTCAACAAGGGCCTCTTATGCTGTGAGTTTTGTTTATTTGGTTGCACTCAGTGTTTATCCCCAGGAGGCATCCAGAGGGACTGCCTGTTAGCTTTGGCAAATGGTACTCATGCTGCAGTCTTTGTACATACTTGGTACATGATGATATCCTGAAATGAGAAGTATATCCTGAAATGCCTCCACATTTCCCGAATGTTAGACCAAAAAATGCTGTAAATCAGCCAGGGCTCAGAAAACGGGTTGTCCTCACTTGATCATGTTCCTTGGTCTGAGTGCAAATAATGTCTCATTATAGTTTAGCAGGTCAAAAGCATCTCTGGTGGAGGCCAAGGTTGGCTGATCAATTGAGCT